TTGGCAATATACAACTGAATTTTTTTAACTTTTGCTTTTTAAGATTTATGGATTGTCTCACCAAGGTTTTACTCAGAGTAAACCTATGGAAATTAATGGGCCTAAATTTGTCATGTCCACTCATTTAAGTGGGTTTAATCTGAGTATAACTAACACTGGACCTAATCTATGCTTTAATTTGTGTTACATGGTGTCGTCTCATTTCATTTTGTTCTTTCATGTAAATCCCTTTTGGGGTGGGAGAATTGCAACAGCTGAAAAGCAGCCTTGATTTTAAACACACACAAACACACACACACCACACACACACACACAGAGCCAAGTGATGATTTTATTTATCTGATGACTTCTCACTTTTTGATTCAAATGATTTCTCAAAGCAGAGAAAACTAAAAAAAACCCCTAACGAACAGTGCAATCCTATGTAAGTCTACTCAGAAGTAAGCCCCACTGAGCCCAGTGGGATTTACTCCTGGGGAAGTATGTCTAGGATTTCCACCTAAACCTGCAGTGTCAGCTTAGCAGCAGGCAAGAATATAACAAATGGGACTAAGCTCCACTATACTTGGAAGCTGAAATCCTGCTTTAAAAGAAAACCTGTGTAGGCTGCCCAAGCCCTGAAATTTGATGACTCTTAAGAGGTAATAATTAGAAGAACCTGCAGGACTAAGAGGCTTCACAGCAGTTTTTAGGGTGCCCAAATTGTAAGCAGCTGCAGAAGAAATGGATTCGGCAAAATGGGCATTGACCGATGTCATTATCTCTGCATTGATCTTTGCACTTTTAGTATACCAAAATGAACATAACTCAGACACACTCATATAACCAGTAAAAGTAAAGGTAAAGGTACCCCTGCCCGTATGGGCCAGTCTTGACAGACTCTAGGGTTGTGCGCCCATCTCACTCAAGAGGCCGGGGGCCAGCGCTGTCCGGAGACACTTCCGGGTCACGTGGCCAGCGTGACATCGCTGCTCTGGCAAGCCAGAGCCGCACACGGAAACGCCGTTTACCTTCCCGCCAGTAAGCGGTCCCTATTTATCTACTTACACCCGGGGGTGCTTTCGAACTGCTAGGTTGGCAGGCGCTGGGACCAAACAACGGGAGCGCACCCCGCCGCGGGGATTCAAACCACCGACCTTTCAATCGGCAAGCCCTAGGCGCTGAGGCTTTTACCCACAGCGCCACCCGCATCCCCATATAACCAGTGCATCTGAACAAAGGCATTATGCCCCTTTTAAACATCTTGCATGTTTGTTTGATTGACAAAGGAAAGGGAGTGGTAAATAAACGTCCTAAACATATGGAGGGCACCAGGTTGGCTGATCTGACCCTATGACATATTTTCCAGAGTACATTCACACTTTGTACCAGCCTCCCCCTAAGTGGTGCCAGCACCCAGCAGCTGGGGCCGATGAGAATTACATAGAATCATACAATTGTGGAAGCCTGACAAAATGATTCTTACAAGCAACATTGGTCCAAATGCTTTCCTAGACAGAAAATTATATATGCAAATATGGCACAGACATGCACAAGGGAACCAAAAAATACAGAAGGGATTGCAATCCTGCACACACACACACACAAATGCTATGTTCACAAACAAGTGAGGGCGTAAACAAGCATATTAATGTCTACATCTCCAATTGCAAAGGTGCTTTGAAGGAAAGCGAGCCATGGGCTTCAAACGCAAACTCTTTCTTCCAAACATTTACATATTTGACAGAACATCACATGCTAGCAATGATAATTTGGCACATTTGTGAGCATTTGCTTTAAAAGGGGGGGTGGGGAGAAACAGCCGTATCTGCTTATTGCAAACGCTCCTTTTCTTTTCTTAAAAAGAAAACATTTTGTTGTTTTTGACAATGCATTTGCACAACGGAAATCTGCACTTTTTGTTTCCGAATTTGAACTTTGTGGTTTGCATCACCACTATTTACATGCATCTAGCTCAGAACTCTTGGAAATAGAGGGGAGCTTCAAACACGGCAAACACAGAAACACAGAACGGGAAGCGGGGCAGAAGACCATCAATTCCACCTTCCCAGCTGAAGGCAGGATCCTTCACCCATTGTGTGGGTCCAAGCAAACATCAGGCCACAGGATGTCACAAGCCATGAATAGGAATGAACAAGGTGTGACTCATCATGTAAAGCCAATGCTTTCGATACCCGCATGCAAATGGCCCGAATGGAAACATGCACACACTGTTTATGGGATGGCAAGTGACATGCGCAATGACATGGAAAAGAGGAGAGATAGGCACAGGGAATGGCATGCATGGCAAGCGCAGCTAATCCAGCCATTTCTTGAACAGGAATCCTCCAAATGATTTGGCCACATTTCTTTTATGTTCACATTTAAATGCAGCTGTAGTGCACACTGTCTTTTTGGGGAAATTTTCCACCTGGTTATGGGTTATTTGGGTTTTTAGAAATTTGGTAATTTGGTAAGGGTGTGAGAATGAATTTGTGTACGAGAGGCTATATGGAAAAACAGCACAGCCCCAGGATCCATTCTCAATCCTTAATCCTACATAAAGATCAGTGCTGTGTGTTAAATCTCCGCCAGGCCTGGTAAACTCTAGAGCCAAGATGCAAACTATGGCCACATCCACCCCATACATTTAAAGCGCTCTTATTCCTCTTTAAGAGTCATGGATCCCCCATGCCCAAAATCTTGGGAACTGGAGTTTCAGTGTTTCCTAAGGACTCTCAGCTCCCTTACCAATGATAGTTCCCAGGATTCTCAGGGGAAAACCGTAACTCTTAAAGTGGAATAGAATGCTTTGAGGGCTCATCCAGACTTCCTTTTGTGCTGCGTTTCTAGTCACAGGCCTGCACTTTAAAGCACCATGATGGTAGCTCAGTCGGTACAGCATGAGACTCTTAATCTCTGGGTCCTGGGTTCGAGACCCAAATTGGGCAAAAGATTCTGGCATTGCAGAAGGTTGGACTAGATGATCCTTGGGATCCCTTCCAACACTACATTTCTATGTCTGAATGCTTTTTTATTCCCCGTGAAAACCCACTCTTTACTGCTGAATGGGAGCAAAACAATTCAGGAAAACCTGAATTGCCGTTTGTTCAAATTTAGTGTTAAAAAGCTACTGGGAAGAATGGAAAAAGGGGGTTCAAACACAGCGCTTTAAAGCACAGACGTGCACATAGAAAGTAAAGGGCCAAAAGTGTGGATGAGCCCTAAATGTATGCAGTGGAGGAGACAAAAAAGCCTCAGAAAGACTGGCAACAGCAAACATGAAAAGATGTTTGGTATTGTCTTCTGAACGATGGCTCCCGGGCACCCAAATGTATTAGCATTCCTATGGCAATTCAAAACTCCTCAAGAGCACCAGGTTGAGGAAGGCTATTGTAGCCAATATAACTTATGGCTGATCCATGCATTTGACATTTTTAGGTTCCAGAAATATCTGACTTGTGGGTTAGGGACGTCACATGTATGTACTTTCAGTGGCTGGGTTCTTGTGAACAAACATGGCACTGGGAGCCTAATCTTTCTCTTAACACTGCCTTGGCGTTGGTTTATTGGGCGGCTAGCCCATTTCAACCCATGTGCACCATTTACAGCGGGTGCCCTATGGTTTTATTACACCATTTAAATGTGGGGGTTTTTCGGTAGCTGAGTTCAAGCAGCAAAATGTTAATCAGCTCATGCGCTGGTCTAGATACAGACTGAAGTAGTAAAATATCTTGGTTTAGATGAGTCTATAAGTGTAGGAAATGTATGTGCCCTGGAAATTGGGTGGTGCCCTCATGCCATGCCCTCTCCTTGGGCACACTTGAGACATAACATTTGCCTAACACCTACATCCATGAAGCCCAGAACAGCTGGATTTAAACTGTCCAGTTTCTCAGCCCTTTGCAAATATTACTTCCAATGTGTGGCTATTTGGTAGTCACAGAAGCAGGAGTGGCACACATGCTAGATAGGTGTGATCTTTTCCTAACATGGGGATGGCTCTCTGCATTTAGAGCCTTGTTCAAATAAATAGCTTCAGGCAGAAGAGAAATCTTATCTGTCTATGTTAACTCTTAATGCAGGATATAGTAGGAATGAGGAACCATAGAACTATATAGTGTACCAATTTGGACATCACGCCAAACCATAGTTTAGCAAGGCAAGAATGAGATGCAGGCTTATATACTCTTCCTCCCCTCCCAGAAGCAAAGCCTTCTTCCTTCTTATGGCAGCTCTGGTTTTTGCTTAACCAGTGGTTTATTTTTAACCATGGCTGGTTTGAAATGTGAAGTTCAAACCATGGTTTATGAAGCTGGCTTGTTCAAACAAATCACAGTTAATACTATCGTTTAGGGTTCTGATATCAGTGGTTAATCAAAAGTGGAAGCAAAAGTTTCTGGACTCCACTTTGTAGCTGTGCTGGAGGAGAAAAGGGGGAAATGCATGGATAGGGGGCTCACCTAGGCTCCTTCGCATCACTATGAACCATGGTTTGCTGTAACACCCAAAGGCAGCCTTTCTGTGAGGGGTCTGGTTGACAGCAACACTTGCCTCACCTTCTGGCAGCTTTTGTGGGTGCACAAAAGCCACCTTAAAGGAGAAGCCAAATTGTTTTCTTTGGAGCACCTCATTTGCAGGTTTGTCAGCCAGATGTGCACCCAGCCTGAAATGTGTTTGTAAAGTGCTGTAGGACAAGGAATGCGGCAGGATTAGCTCGTAAGGGAATCCACCAGGGTGGGCATCAGTCAAAGCTGAAGCTACTCCTACAAGCAAGCTGGATGAATTTGTCAGAGGAGGAGGGAGGCGAAAAAGGGGGTATATTGCAACATATGGCATTTATCAATTGTTTCATTTACAGCTTAGGATGAAAAACGAAAACAAAAACACAACTAAGGAATGAACAAATGATGGAAGGAAGGAAGGAAGGAATGATGGCCCTCACAACATGCTGTGGATGTCCGTGGACAGATGGGCTTCAATGATGGGTCATATGGGTTGTTGTTTTAACTGAATCTTACCCTCATCCCTTCAAATCGTGATAGTGCTCTTAAGGGTCTCAGAGCTCTGAGGGTCCTAAGGGATTTAATGGGACCCATTTCGGAGTATCCAAGTGTACTAGCTATGAGGCTTACTAATGAGACCTGAATGGAGACACAAAATGGAAAAGTCCAAACCATTAGCACAAATCCTACCATTCAGCTTCTCTTCTCTGGATTTTCACCTGTAAAGATAAGCCTGGTTAATCAACTGATGAAGAAAGAGCCTAAAAGGAGGAAAAATATATAGCATTAACCCAGCACAAAGGCAGGGGCAAAACAACCCTATCAGCATTCTCATGTATAAACATCATTTCCAGGAGACCTTCAGGATATAGACCCATTCACTGATTTCCAGTGCAAAATGAAACCACAAGACTTCAAAACCAGAGGGAACCCCCGTCTTAAATGTTGTCTTACTTTCCTCAAGGTGACCACATGGAGCTCCAACTGATGTCAAAAGTTGGTCAGAAAAAGGAAGGAAGAAGGACCAGCAAAATCTAATTCTGGCAGTGTTTTCCTGAAACACAAACTTTTTGTGTGTGCAGTTGATTTGAATTTTTTTATATAATTGAATGGAAACAGCAGAGATGTGGGCACAGGTCCCATTATTAAATTATGCAAACACTGTAATTTTGTGCCCTCAAAATGAATCACTTTGCAAGACCCAGCCATTTATTACGATCCTTTGAAAAAGAATGCCATAGCCTGTGATGTATCTCTGTAATACCCAATTTCATTGTGTGTGTGCGTGTTTTAAATGGTGTCGGATCTGTGTCACTATGTTACACCCTTCTCTATAAAGAACTGTACCCATTGCCTTGCTTTGGATTAGCAAAATGAAGCCGCCATGGGCCACCTTAAGGAAAGACTTGATGGCCCGTTAACCTGTGGGAAAGAGAGAGAAGGTGCTGATTACTGGAGGTGAACACACTTCATAGACACTGAAAGACGACAACCCTTACCCTTATGCTCTCAAATCGGGACAGGGCTCGGAGGGGCCTCAAGGCCCTCAGCGTCCTGAGGGATTTCATAGCGGCCAGGTGGTCATAGCCGAGAATTGATCCTATCTGGCAAATAACTGAAATCTGTGCAGATCGAATGGAATTTGAAATTATTGGTCAAGGCGAGCAAAGAGAGACAAGAAGAGACACAGAGAGAAAATAGGAACAGCACAATCAGGGGAAGATTCTGAGAACCCAGGTAAAGTCACTTGGCCGTTTTGAAACAAGTGCAAGTGTAGGATGTGAGCGAACAGGGGCTACGTTTCTAACGAAGCGTCTGCTCCATTGGTGCCACGTAGCTCACAAAAGTGCTTAAAGTGGGCTGTGCAGTGGAACGAATGTCCAACTAAACATTCAGCTCTGGGATGAAAGAGTGGTGGAAGGTCAAAATCTGGGTGGGAATAAATTGGAGGGTGGGAATAAAATTTAGACATTGGGGTTGGGACAGGGGACCTACCAGGATAAGTGGCAGTGTGGCTGCCATCTTCCTTGCTCCCAACAATGCCTCAGGTACAACACAATACAGGACAGTATCCAAAGAAGCAGATCTGCTGGCTCAAGGACTTTTGAGTGGGCAGCAGAACTTCCCCTCCCTCTCCTCCCCTTGCATTTCCCCCAATTTGTTGTAGGTTTTCTTCCAATCCTCCAGAGCAGATTTGGGGAGAGTACAGGAGATGTGAGGGGAGAAGGGAGGGGAGGGAAGTTCTGCTGCACAGGTGGAAATCATTGTGCTAGCTAGTGGATCTACTTGATAGTGTCATTCCAAAGAGACAATCAGACAAAACATAGCCACCTGTTGGGCCACCAGGAGAGGCCCATCACCACCTCTTGGGACAGTGGCCAAATGGTAATTTTAAAAGGGGGGAGGTGCTGCCACTGTGGCTTGTCCCAAGAAGCCTCCGCTCCAATTTTTCAATTTTCTCCACCCCGCCCCCCAGTTTTCTGCCCCAAGTACTCCCCAGTCTTCCTCCTCACCGTCACAAGGTTTTTACAAATCAAATTAGGTTGTTTTAGTACCCAGCTGCTGGTTGGTTTGTGTTTATCGTTCTGATTTTATGGCTATTTTATCGTTTTATGTGGTGATTTGTTATGCTTATCTTTACGAGATGAACTCTGCTGATTCAGTCTTTAACGTACCTTGTCCTGGGCTCCCTTGGGAGGAAGAGCGATTCACAAAACCAACAGCTGAATTGATTAAAGTAACTAGATGCAACAGGGGCACCCTCATTTCATTGACTTGTGCACCTAATTCATTCATGAGTAAGGCAAAACCTTGGGAAGGAGGCACAGCTGGGTGGGAGGACGCCTGCTTTGCATGCAGAATGCCCACAGTCCCTGCATTGCAGGGGGTTAGACTAGACAACCCAAAGGGTCCCTTCCAACTATGACTCTTGTACACTTAAACCGTGAAATGCACTAGAAGAAGAAGAGGAGTTTGGATTTGATATCCCGCTTTATCACTACCCGAAGGAGTCTCAAAGCAGCTAACATTCTCCTTTCCCTTCCTCCCCCACAACAAACACTCTGTGAGGTGAGTGGGGCTGAGAGACTTCAGAGAAGTGTGACTAGCCCAAGGTCACCCAGCAGCTGCATGTGGAGCGGGGAATCGAACCCGGTTCACCAGATTATGAGACTACTGCTCTTAACCACTACACCACACTGGCTCTCATTACAGGTGCTGCTGTCCTCCTGACATAGATTTATCAGGTGTCTGTTCTACAGATTAGGCAGGGAAAGGCTGCAATAGCTGGCAACTCTTTGAAGCCTTGGACACAGTCCATAGGTTGAGGTGAGTTGACTAAATACTCCGCTGTCGATTTTGGAGGTATTTCATTTCTCCCTGTCAAATTTTATTCATAGGAGAAACCTCAACCGTATAGGCTTGGCGCTTTGGACTTGATTAAATGTGACCTCGGAAGATATTTTTAAAATAATCAAACAGCTTTCAAAATCCATGCTGACTGCCCCACATAGCCCAGGCAAACGCGGAAGTCAGCACTTTTCAAAGAGAGCTTCCCTGCCCCCCCACCGCTCCCCCCCCCAATGCAAGCTTGTTAAGCAAGACCTGATTCTTTCCAACACATCTGCCTGAGCCTCTCTCTCCCGATGAATGTTGCATCCATAATCCTGTCCTGCTAGAATGCCACACAGCAGTGCTTCCAAATGCAAGACTTCCATGCGCCTTCTAGTAATTTGTATGGAATTGGTTTTATGCCTCTGGAAATGCTTGCGGTCTCACTTCACACATTGTTCCTATTAATCACAATTCCCATTTACAACATTTTTATGATGCCCAATAACAAAAGTTCTCCAAGAGAAAAGTAAAGGCAAGATTCTAAATGCTACGTCAACTTGGGTGGCCATAATCTCTTGGATGAGTAAAGCATCCGTTTTTGCACAGGATAACACCCCAGAGCCTTGTGATGGCTGCAAGGCTGACCACTTTTTCTTCCTGATCTGAACTTACTTGCCAATGCAGCTGGAAGAAGTACTGTTAGAAAGCTGGGGTGGAGGGGAAGGTGGTCAGTTCCGCTAGCAAAACCCAGCATTGGTTGCTAGGCATGGAACTAGATCCGAGAGGAGGATGGGGATTAGTGAAATGGCGGCTGCTGTCACATCGGCACCGGTGGATGCATAAAACTATTGTCAAAGAGCGAGCCGACAGTAAATCACACCTTAACTCTTTATTAGCAAAAACTTTACAGAGTTGGCTGAGTGTCAGGCCTAATGAGCAGCTCATCCTCGGTAGGTCGTACCCCGTGATTCAGTTGCCAAGACTCAAAGTCCCTGCCTCTCCACAGCCATCTAAGTCCCCTCATCTCCAGGGCTTTTCCCAAATCTTTCCTGCATGTGGCCTGGCATTGTTCCACCCGTTTCAGCCCTCTTCTGGTTCTGTAAGACAATGGAGGAGGTGAGCTTGTCGCAGCAGGAGCGGGAGGCACCCATGACTCTTCGCCAGCCTGACTCATCTCTTCCTCTTGGCTTCACCTGCTTCAGCTTCTGCCTCCGATTCTGGGCTTCTCTCTGCCACAGGCTCTCCCTGCTCACTAAGCCCTGTTACCTCCCCAGCTCCCAACACCTCTTCCCAGCCTTCTCCCTGTGACCCCAGGTTCTGATCCTGCTTTCCTTGGTGGTTCCCCAGCTGGTTCCTCCCACCATTCCTCTGTGTCGAACCAGTCCATGACACCTATGCAGTCCCCAATGGAAGGGTCACTTAGGTGCCTCTTTTCCAGATGAAGGGAGCAGAGTCCTCATAGAGGACCCTTGGTCCTATGAACTGCACTGGGGTTGATCATTCTGGAAACACAGGAAGCTGGCATACACTACGTCCAACTATTACTCCATCTAGCTCAGCATTGTCCACACTGACTGGGTCTGTAGGGTTTCAAGCATGGGGTCTCTCCCAGCCAGACCTGGAGATGATGCAGATTGGTTGAGACTTACTGCATGAGAAGCAGTTGTTCTTCCATTGTCTGACAGCTTAGCTAAACTTAAGAACCATCAATAAGTGCCAGAACTAAGACGCACAACCCCCAAAATCTGATGGATTTGAATTGCGGTTTACATAGAGGGAGCTTATTGTGTGTAGTGCTTACTTAACTGAAGTAAAATTGGTTTTATATGGGTGTTTTAACTTGGAACTGTTTAAATTGTATTGTTTATGGATAAATTCTGATGTATTGTTTTTGATATGGGCTAATGGTCGCAATAAATCTATCTATCTATCTATCTTCCATTGAGCTACAACCCTACCATTCAGGTAGCCAGCAATGTCCCTGCGACAGCAGCAGCCATTATGCAAATAACCATCTTCCACCGAGAACCATTTGCATGCCTAGCTTCCAATGGGAAGAGGCCGCCATGCTTAAGAGTCCTGGAAATAAAGGGCCAAGAATGCAAAGGTGAGGAACCACCAGCACTTACCCACTGACCTAGCCAGCGGCAGAGAAAACCTGGTTTAGAAGTTACGTCACATGCTCATTTTCAGTTGCTAAGCTAATGGGGCAGCCATTTCTCTCTCTCATCTTCACTGACCTCCCAGGACTGGTTGTGAGGATAATGAAAGGTGGCAATAACTGGGTGGTGAACAGTGGCATAGAACATAAATAATGAGCAGGCCATGTTGTTGTTGTTGTTCCAGACCCACGTTCATTTCAGTTCGGAGCCAAGTGAAAGATAAGCTCAAACATCATTAAAGACTTCCTAGCATTTGTCCCAGGGGTATGGCTGCAGATGTGTGGCATTATGTGACACCCAGCCTTGGAGAAGAGGGCACGCAAGGCGAATTCAGGCCAAAAAATATGCAGGCTGTCCTCAGCCCCCCTTACCCTCGCTTCCTCCGCACTGAGCCCTCCCGTAATCCTCACCGTTTATAGATATCCTGGCCCCACCTGTTTCATACTCTCATTGGCTGCGGACATTTTTAGCTCATCACGGCTGGTGACTTAATGTTAAGCTTTGGGGGAAACTGGTTGCTGGGTATCCACTCAAGCAAAAACTCAATACCTTTTGGCATCCGGACAAACCAGAGCATTTCCATCAGGGCTCTGTTTGTCGGCAATTATTGACCGTCCCCTGTTCGTTCAGATCTGCGTCCAAGGGAAGATGCAGAAATTGGAACATTGTGCCTGGGAGAACCATCGGAAGCGACAGCTCAGGTCACAGAGCTAGATCATGTCCACCCCTGTACTTTTAAACCGCATTTAAAGCAGATGCCCCCCCCCCCCGAATCAAGGGGACTCTAGTTTACCCCCTTTCAGAGCTATGATTTCCAGCACCCTTAACACACTACATACACAGGATTCTTTGGGGGAAGCCATGTGATTTCAATGGAAGGTGTGGATGTGGCCCTAGAGAGCCATGGAAGCAGTCTGTGGAACCTCAGGGGCTGAGCCTTTCCCTCCTTCAACTTTCCCTCCACATCCATCTTTTGCCTATGTGTCTCCTCCATCATAAGGCCTTCTGTTGGAATCGGTTTTCTATAGCATTTTGTACTACAAATATGTACAGTCGTACCTTGGTTTTTTAACAGCTTATTTCTTGAACGTTTCGGCACCTGAATGCCGCAAACCCTGAAGTGACTG